TTAATCGCTATACTCGTACTTTTAAAACAGATATAACCGTTAAAGCTTCGAGGGTCCACTTGTATGGGGCCTATCCGAAAACGTGGACTGAGAATATTTCAACCATCAAGCTCATTCCGTTCGGACTCTATCGTGCTTTCAACAGACGGACATGGCTAGATCGTCTTAGAATTTAATAAGGATCCAGAATATATATACTTTTGTGGGTCTATGACCAATATTTCGATGTTATACCCCCATCTTTTTTGATGGTGGGTATACAAATTATTTGTAAAAAGATTTATTTTAATTTTATTTATCATAAATTAGTTTTTAAAAGAGTTTGTTTGTTGTGAAAAATAATAACAAATATTGTCAATCTAGCGTTTTTAAAACAATTTAGTGTGTCTTTCTTTTAGCGATTTTTGTGTAAATTTTTATTTTAATAATATGTTTGTAACATGAAGTTTTAAAACAATAATATATTTTTAGCTCGTTGACGCTCACTCAAAAAATTATGTACCGACCACTAAATTTTTGAAAAATTTGAGTACATCTACGAGTACTGCCCGAATATAAATTTTAAGCAAAAATGTTGTTGATATGTATAAAATGACGGATTTAAAAAAAAATTATTATACTCCAATTTATAGTGAAATAAATATTGGAAAACATAACACTATATGACGGCTATAGACGCCATTTTCATCTACGAGCGACCGTGCTCGAAGCCTATAACCGTCATTTACGTCAAAGTGAGAGCAAATTTTTAGAGGACCCCAGATATCGGCGAGATCCGAATCTTCAATAATTCTGTTAGACATGCTTTCGAGAAGATCGTTATTTAAAATCAGCAAAATCGGTCCATAAATACCGGAGATATGAACAAAAATCCGAGACAACCTCTGAAAATTTCATAAAGAAGACAATTTTTTCATGCTTTTATATATAAGCAACAACAACACTGCTTATTCATTGAGTATTTCGTTTCGTATGTTTGGATGCCTGTGTGTTTCATTGCCTTCTGTATATTGCTTTTGTTTCTTGGTGCATTCAGTTTCGTATGTTTGGATGTCTGTTGGTTTCATTGCATTGTGTATTTTGTTTTTGTTTTTTTGAGTATTTCGTTTCGTATGTTTCATTGTATATTGTTTTTGTTTCTCGGTGTATTCAGTTTCGTATGTTTGGATGTCTGATGGTCTCATTCACGGATGGAAAGTGAGATTTTGTTTCAGTATCAACAAATATTTCAGAGGGTACTTTTTTGGATCAGAGAGTACTAAAACAATTTTTTCGCTAAAATTTTGTAACTTCTTAAATACAATATATTTAGACATTTTAAAATAATCCGCAACGGAAGTAGAATTGTCATTATATGTTAATATGATGAATCTGTGTTCGTCCCTCAATGTTAACCTTTTAGATACAGTTTGATGAAATTTGCTATGTAATTTCTTGTCCATAGCAACTTTGTTAAAGCAGTTATTATACAGTTTGTTGTATTTTAATAAATCCGGTCTAAATTAATATCAGGCCACCTTTGGCCCTTTTTATTAAACTAAAATCCGACGTAGGTGTTCATTGCGCTCCATGACATGAGACTTCACACAGAATATTTGCTCGTACATCTGATTCTGAATATGACATGAAACAATAATTTGCTTTAAAGTCCAAATATTTTTGACCAAAAACTTCTTTTATTATATTAAATGCTTAATTTCAAAATATATTGCTTTATATTAGATAGAAATTTAAAATTAAATTCGAGTTTATATCTTTTGGAAATCATTCAAAATCATTATATCTTTTGGAAATCATTCCAAAATTGAAATTTCTGGTAATTTTCTCATAAAATATTATCAATGGAATTTAAATTAGATTAATAATATTCATATAATGTCAATCAAGATACAAATTTTTTAAAACTAGATCTCTTTACTTCTGGTAATATTGAAGAGAATTCCATTACTCTATAACTTTTTAGCCGTTTTTTTCCAGAAGTTATAGTGGATGCATTTTTGAGAATTTTATGTAGACATGTGCCAAAACATTCGTGGAATTTTAAATTTGAATAAATATTTGAAATTTTAAAGATACTTTGACCCCCATTTCTCAATGTATATATTGTTATTTTTTATCGAAATGAAATATTTATAATTTTCATACAAAAATTATTTTAACCGGCACATTATCTACCGGTTGAACGATAATCGGATATTGAGATTGTGGCCCTGAGAGTATCAAGTAAGACTCGGGAGTATCAAGTAAAAAAAGTACCATCGTACCAATTTTTCCATCCCTGGTCTCATTGCACTGTATATTTTGTTTTTTTTGCGTATTTCGTTTCGTATGTTTGGATGTTGTTGGTTTTATGCCTCGTGTATTTTGTTTTTTGTGTGATTATTTCGTTTAGCGTTGTTGTTGTTCATTTTGTTTTGCTATAATAATTATATAGTCGGGAAAATGAAGAGAACGGATGGGATCGTCTAAGCACAATATGTAATGAAACCAGTGTGACCATTTTGCCTTTTTTGCAGCTAGATTTAGCATTTTTTATTTTGATTTAGCTGTAAAATTTTAATTTAGCATTTGGCATTTTATTTAGTATTTTTATAAAATATTTTTAGCATTTTTAGCTTTTTTTGCAATTTTAGTATATAAACAAAAAAAGACAAATTTTTGCAAAAAATTAGAATTAAATGTCTACCCAAACACAAGCAACAAGAAATATGAGAAATGTAATAATTTTCACTGTAATTCAAAATAATGCAAAAAGATTCATGAAGATAAATAACTTAAAATTACGCCAATACAAGTGAATACTTTAAAATGTTGTATTCTAAAATATTTTTCTGGAACCCAATGCTTTTTTAAATTCGAGGTGATAGAAATAATTCAAGAGATTTCATATATTTTTACAAATACGTTCAGTACGCTATTTTACAAACTAATACTTTATGTTTGCTCATGGAATGAAACATATAATTTTGGAAAAGGATATGTATGACGGTTAATAAACAAATTTTATTTTTTCCTATACGAAATAAAGAGGTTTTAATTTTTATCATTATTCAGGAGTTCTTGTTAATTTATTGAAAATAAGTATTGAAAAAAATCAATAATATATAATTAAGCCTTTCTCATCCTACTTTCTGTTCTTTTTATTTTAACCAAATTTTTAGTAATTTTGTTGTCACGTTTTTTTTTTTAATTAAAAAAAAATACATAAATTTCGAAAATATTATTGACAATTTATTCCAGAATTACAAACTTACGGATTTGAATATATCTCTCAATTCATTTCGTATATTCTCATATATATTTTTCCGAAAAAATCTTGGAAGTATGAGTTATAAACCTGACATCTATTCACCGAGATTTAAAATTATTTCAACGGAATTTTCAATAATTTTGTGACATGAAAACCATTTTTAAAGTGTTTTGAGGAAGACAAATAAAATTGTTTATATAAAAAAAGTAAAACTAGAAATATTATACTTTTCCTTCCGAAAACACATATAGGTTTTATACCATGAGCAACTAGTGTAATTAATAGAGTTATAATGTAATTTTTGCATTCAGAAATATTTTAAAGTTAGAGACATTACATATTGCTAAATTTACAAAAATTTTTAAATAATTTTTAGCATTTCTGTTTATCTTAATACCACGGAACTTAATTTTTTACCCTACTCCACTATACTACGTTTGAGTATACTAATCGGTTAAGAATCATTTTCTGAATCGATTAAGCCATGTAAGTCTGACCGTCTGGTAGAGGTTGAAATTTTCAAAACAATAAGCACGTATGCTTTTTGATCCAATGACAAGACTTTTTAAAAATGGTTAAAGTCCGTCCTTTATTTTCCCTAGCCCCCATACATATACAAATGTATAAAGCCTTTCTCAGAAAATTTGTTTAAATATATCGGAACCAAGGTTCAATTCAACATAAATGCTTTATTACGAAAAATAAATCAAATTTTATACTCATATGGTCAACCACGGCAGAATATACTTTCTTACTTGATATAAATTACAATGAATTTCAGTTACAAATTAATATGAATTGTTCATAAAAACACTTAAAAAATTTTAGCATTTTTTTTTTTTTTGGCATTTTAAAATCAATTTAGCATTTTTTCTAGCATTATTTTGGATGGGATTTAGCCGCAACATTTTTTGAGACCTGGTCACACTGAATGAAACCATCACACATTGAGAGAAATTACGGATGGAAAATTTGACTGTCGTATGGCTCTCTTCATTTTTTTAAATGATTCAAAAAACAAGCAAGTCGCATTAAATCAGAGATGTATTTTTATGTATGTATACACATACAAAAAGAGTTAAATAGCTGTTCCATCTTACTTTGTTATTGTTTTATACCAATCGTGTAAAGACGAAAAATATAAATCATACGACTTTTATTCTCTTTTTTGTCATACGGATGGAATTTCATTCTACATTTTCGTTAGACTTGTCGTGCGTAAAGTGTGATCGTCTGAAGGGCCCTTAATTGAGTACTCAAAGACAACTTTTTAATTTAATCGCTAATCTTTCACCTATAGATTGGCCCTTAAAGGAAGTGGTTTAAGCATTCTTTTGAGTAAAAAAATAAAAACGTCCATTTTGAAAAAATATGGGAAAATTAAGTGCCAAATATTGACAAAATGTTATTCTTGAGTTAAAAAATATTTTTTTGATAGATATTCCACTCGCATCCTATTATTATTATGCAATATTTTAATGAATCTCGATTAAAAACTCAAGGCTGTTCTTCTGGCTGGAAATTTAAATAGGGAAATAATAGCAATTAACAAGTGTAAGTTAACAAAACACAACGCAGATCTAAATAAAAATATGTAAACCTTAATATAAATCCATGAGTTTGAAAACAAAAATTAAAAAAAACTGAAATATATCCATATGATCTGCTACAAATTAAAACTCTATGCCATTCTGCCTCGCTCAAATGATTTATAACGAGAAACATATTTAAGAAGATATTGCTTACTTACCTACTGGCATTTCTGGAACGCGGACGAGCAAAGCGTAATTGTAATTGCGAAGGATCCGTTACATATTTATCAGTTGTTTCTCTGCGACGCCTCATAGCTGTTTAATAAATTGTTAGGGAAACGAAACGTTAATTTTTGTACATGAAATATTTATTTAAATTATAACAAAAATATGCCATACAACTTAAAAACACAAAAAACAAAAACTATGTGCTATACCTAATCGGGGCATCGCGTCATACATATCATATATATCAAAGTATAGATATAATTTCCATGTATAGAAATTTTAATAAATGGCAAATAAAAGTACATTTATATTTCTTAAATTTTAATACTTCTCTGATATGATTTTTAGCTCTTGATGATTATATTGAAGTTATATATACAATGAAATAAAAAATATTAAACAGGATGTACTGCTTTCACATAGCAAAAATGTATGCACATCATTTACCAAGAAAAAATGGTTCAATTAACCCCCATGTTCGTATTTCAATAACATAAATATGTACATATTATGTATATGTTCCACTTATAAACGTATAAAGAGTTTGTGAGGCATTACTTCTCAACAAGAAAGTGAAGAAAAAGAAGTAGAATTTTCACCACAAATAACATACTTCCACTTATAAACATATAAAGAGTTTGTGAGGCATTACTTCCCAACAAGAAAGTGAAGAAAAAGAAGTAGAATTTTCACCACAAATAACATACTTGAAGTACTTCCAGTTTTGGTGGAAAACTTATGAATTTTACATTTGTATGTCATAGGAGGGATATTGTTCAATTTCTACATCTAATCTTATTTTTAGAAGCAGTAAAAATTCAATATTTGGATGTCAAAAATAAACCACATTCTTTCAATGACATTCTTATGTAAATTTCATTGGATTTTCACCAAAGTTTGATATACTTCGTATATGTTATTTGTAGTGGCTTTTCTACATCTCTTTTCTCTATATATTTCATTTGTTCGCGGTTATTATATATTAGATTTTAATACGGTCGACTAGTTTCAAAATTCGACACAAAATTAAAAAATCGATATTCAAAGAAACTCCAAAGTAACAATAAAGCGAATCAAACCTGCATTGTCACCAAAAAATATATGGTATGGTAATGCGGACGTACATTCAAAGCAAACTTGCGGTGTAGAGGGCAAACAAAACTTCTATGCATTAAAAAAAAACAACAGCGATAGGACTGGATATGGCACAATGAATCACAGGTATGGGCAAATAAAATTGAAGAATTCATGAACAGTTTCTTAAGCACAACACTAGTTTTACCACAAGGAAAAAAGTAATTGCCTTTAAATAATGTTTGCAAATCTCAAAATTATCTGTAAGAAAATTGTGAACATATTCTAATGATTTAAACTGAGCGGAAATTAAATTTATAAATTTAAATGATGCGTATTCCGCTCCTCAGAGAAATGCTTTTGCGAATTTTGTTATAGATTTATATTAATTGTTTACATTATCATCCAGTATTTATAATGACTTTGGTTGAAAAAATATAAAAAAAATTAATGATATTGTCATCATTCATGAAATTTAGATTGAAATATATTTAAAAATGGATATAAAAGAAATTCAGTTTTTACAGTAAGGCTTCAGAGTCTTAAACATATAAGTAATATTATTTATAATTTAATATTTTATTATATAAAAGAAAGAAAAAAATGTTTTTAACTTTTTATGTTGGTACCAAACAACTCAACAATATATGTATGTATGTATATGTACATTAAAGAACAAGACACACCCATGTACATATGCGCACATTTTTAAGGAAATGGAATTACAAACCTGGTGTTAGATCCGTTATATCAGGGTTTTGAAATACAACACCATCAGGCTTATCTGCAACATTTTGTTTATTGCAACTAGAGGAAGAGTTAGAATGAGTAGGCAAAGCAGGTTCATTAAAATTATCAATATCTGCTGCATTAAATGTTTGTTTTCCCTGGCTGCTGTTTCTTGTAAGTTGTGAATGGACTTGTTGAGTTGTCAACTCACCACCGGCCCACGAAGCACATTTAGCTTGACGGAGATTAGATTGTAATATGGGTATTTTGCTAATAGCGGTGCTACCACCTACGGGCACGTTAGTTGTGGAAACATTTTGATTGCATGAACCGGTGGTGTTAGCTCCAGCAGCCTCATTTTTAATGTACATTTCTGTCACTTTATTGAAATCATCACCTGACTTAATATCATTTTTATCCGCTTCTATTACGGCATCACCTACATCTTCGAACTCCTCCCTTGTAGTTTTTCTCTCCTCGGGTGAATTTTTGAATATATCATTTAATTTTTCCCTACTAACATCACACGCGTCATTCTTGGCTTCATCCTTTATATCTCTTTGGTTTAGTGAAACAGCCACATCATCTTCATTATCGTCATCATTTCGTATTGCATTTACCAGTATAACTTGTTGACTGGGAGATTTTTGGATTGCGGCGGAACCGTAGTAGATCACATCATTTTGAGAAGTTGATTCTAAAATTAGAAAATTAAAATGTTAAATAATCATATTTATACTCACAAGAAAAACCAGCATAATAATTTCACTAAATTTTTTAAATGTCAGCGCCAAATTGTGCAAATTTTTTAACATTTTTATTTTGATTTAGAACTTTCTAATGAATTAACCTAACTTATCAGTTTTTGGAAAAAAACTAAATATTTTTGTGTTCAATTATAGCTATTCCGTCCTTTGTTAATTCCTTTTTAATTGTTTCTAGATGACGTGCAGCCGGACATTTCGTTCGTTCTTCTAATTGACCCAATTTGGTAATTTTTAATACTATACCACATTTTTGGGGAAACTTTCACTCCCCAACGCATAATTTCCATAATCTTAGTCCTTGGCCAATGAACATGTCACCTTTGAGGTTCTCTGTGTACTTTTCTATCGCTGTAAATGTGAAATATCTTACCATTAGGTATCACACGTATTTCTAAGCGTCCACTTATACAGCCCTCGTCTTGTTGTGCGGCTCCGATGCCTGATTCTAAACCACTATTTTGATGATGTGTTGGTACATCTTCGTTTGAGTTGGTTGCATATTGTATAGAGGCAGAAGGTAATATCGTATTTGTTGTAACGCATTTTTGAGTATCCATATCAACGTTTGTATTAATTTTGTCTTTCAGGGGGACACAGGAATCTCCAACGACGACTCCATCGCCACTGACAACACCACCACTATTGTTGAGAAGGTTTGGTAATGCTACGTTAGGTAAACTATTGCGATGTTTACTTATGGCCAAATTAGTGAGATCAGCTTTGTTCCCTGTCACTATATTGCTTGAATTTGGGACATCACTTGCTGCCAGAACATCTACTTCAGCAGTTGGATTGTGTATTGAATTATTAAATAATCCCGTGTTTAAAGTAGTTTCTGGCGGCACTATATTTGTGGCAGCGGCTTCTGAAAATACTTCCCTAACACATACATTGCGTGTTATATCCATGCGATAAACCTGAAGAATATGAAAAATAAAAAAATTATTTATATATTACATAGTGAGGCAAAATAAGCGAAAATTGAAATACCTGGAAGTGATACTATTTTTCTGAAAGGTGGATCCGAATAGAACAAGAGTATGTTTTTGAAAATTGCCAAACACCTCCAAAATCTTGAGTTAAGGGTAAAAAACAGTTTTTCGTACCTTTAAGCACTTATAAGTCAGTAACTTAGTTGAATCTCAACCGATTTTAAGTTTCTCCGCGGATTTAGAAGGCAGAAGCTGAGGCTTTTATAATAACATATATGATGTTTATGTAACCTGGAGAGATATGTGTGAATTTCATCAGAAATCATATATTTGATTTTAGCTTTGCACCGATGTCCAAGTTTGAAGATGTTTTTTGAAAGTATTATATATAGCACGGTTCTATTTATAAATAAATTTATAAATGTAATAGAAAACTATATCTATTCAAGAGTAAAACGCAACTGTGTTTTTAAAGAACCGTTAGAAATTGAAAAAATTATTGATGTTTTTCTTAATACAAAATTGTTCAAAAACTGATTTTCTGAAGGATGCTTTATATAGGGGATAGGGATAAATATGGACCGATCCTCGTAAAATCGGTTGAGATGCATCTAAGTTACAGACTTTTAAGAGCTTAAAGGTACGAAACCCCGGTTTTTTATCCGTAACTCAAGATTTTGGAGGTGTTTGGCAAATTTCAAAAACATATTCTTGTTCTACTCGGATCCACCTTTCAGAAAAATAGTATCACTTCCCAGGTATTTATTTTTGTCACATAGTGTAATTATTTATATTTTTTGCTATATGTACTTTTGTTTCATAAAAGAATCAAAATCGGGTTGTAGTGTTAAGTGCTCATCCAATCTACCAGATTTTTCGTTATGTAATATGGCATTACTGAATATCACTCGTTACCAATTTAAGAATGTATATTTTATATTCGGTTTGCTAGTTTTTTATTAAGAAGTCAATTATTTATAGAAAAGTACATAAATTTTAAAAGTTTAAATATGGTTTCCGAAATGACAGTTGTTTAAGTAATTTTCGGAAGAGTACCCTATGGAGCTATGAGCTATGACAGTTATGAATGATTGGTATATGTATGTATATAGTTACATATTATATTATATAGTTATTATTAGGTAATGATTCATGATTCTGAGATTTTCGGAAGTAGATTCGTATATATACAAAACATAATTGTGTCGAATTTTGTCCCCATATCATTATTAGTAATGAGTTATTTACGATTAAGTGCTTTTCAAAAATGAACTTTATATATTAATATAAACAATTACGAAAATAGGGGAAAATATTTGAAATATAGTTTTTTAATTTTATTTATTTTAAAACAAGGTTATTGCAAACAAGAAATTCAGAAATATCTATTTCAACTCGATATTTTAAAGGAATCAATACAATCTTCTGTATCAATATTGATATAAGCTTAACCTAATTTTTGGAGGCGGGTATTTTATGGGGTTCGGATGAATTATTTTCTTAAATTAAATTATTTTTGGCGAATTTTAACTTATTACCAACATTATTGTGTCGCTTTTTGATGCTGTACTAGTATTTTTAGGCAAAATTTGATATTATAATCATATGAAGGGATATAACAGTCATATTATGAGGGCTACGGTCAAATATGATAAAACTAACTTATGCAAAATTTTATCACGAAAAGGGTTTCACCCTTTGATCATTTTGTGAACCACCTTCGGCTAGAAATTTTTGTTTTTTCATTTTAACATTTTTATTATGAGCTGCTCTAATATATCTATCAATATCTAAAATTGTCTTGATTCAAGAACATCTCTAGGGTTGCCTAAAGATGTAAGAAAATTTTCTTATACTCGAGAACAATTCAAATTGAAATTATGGGAACTGGATGAATTGGCACCATGAGATGTTTTCCTTTATCCACATGTATAAAATTATATAATTTAAGCTGTCTTATTGCTTAAGTTTTAGAAAACGAACATTTGATGATAAAAATTTAGATTTTTTTAAACTCAAAGTACACTCAAACCTCGATTTATGCGGTTAATTCGTTTCGCAGAAAAACGCATAATTCGAACTCGCACAAAACGATACACTAGCTCCATGCAAAATATAGTAATTGGGTTTTTAATAAAAAAGCGCACTATTTCAAATTATTCCCTTAAAAGTCAAACAAAATCGCATAAAAAAATCAAGAAAAATTTAATTCTCTACTGAAACTATTAAAAAATTATGAAAAATAAAGGTAACAAATAATAACACAATACAAATTCCAAATAATGAAGTATATGTACAAAATTTCTTAAAAATAAAAAATAATATTTCTTCGTGTACAAAGGATTTGAACAATACTTTATATATCCGAACCGGAATTGGTAAAAAATCAGTAGTAGTACTTTGTTGAGAAATTTTTTTCGATGTATGTGGACCAACATTTTTCTCAAAATTATTTTTGCAAAGAAAAATTTTAGAATTTTGAAACCGCACTAATTCAAATTCGCATAAAATAAATACGCATAAAACGAGGTTTGAGTGTATATAAATACCTAATATTGATGGAAATAACATTTTGAAAATTGTTATCCAAATTGAAATATAAATTAACAGTGGTTGTTAAAGCTTGTTTTTATATGGAAAAATAGTTGTTACTTATACTTTCCCAGATAAACGAATTTTAGTATCTTATTCATATTGGATGCACTGTTGCCAGATTTGACGATTTGTCGTCATTTTGACGATTTTCAGTGTCAAAAGTTACCCATTGACGATTTGACGATTTTAACTCTAAATTTGACGATTTTTAAAACAGGATGTTCGCACAAATTTTTATAATTTTTATCATTATTTTATCTAATATTTAAAAGCAAATCGAAGCATATTCAGAATATTCTATAATAATGTTAATAAAATTAAGAATTTTAATGACTTACAACAAAAGTATAGGTATATTGGCCTAATATTTGTCGTAAAAGTGAAACCAATTATACTTTTATGACCTGCACTTATGGTACTGCTCATGCAGTGTATTGTGGAACTATGAAAATAGTTTGTGGAAGGAGGCTAGAGGAATTAGCTTTTATTGAGTAAAGGGAATTATAATTTCGTTGAAGAAGAAAAAGCTATCTTAACTCCTTTGGAAAATTTTTGCTAGGAACAACTACGGTAGTCCTGTCCGATAGAACTGAAAAACTGTATTTGGCCTACTATCCAATAGTACTAACCGTGGTGCAAATTTCATCCAAATCGATTTTTTGAGTTGGGTCACTTGACACGAAATTGCCAATATATTAAAAAAAAATTTAAAAAAAAATCGACCAAAAATATGGAATACTAAAAACATCCCATACATATTCATATCAAATAGTTTACAAAAATGCAATATCTGTTCTTTCGAAATATATTTGCCAAATTAAACAAATAATAAAACTAAAACTATCAAAATTGATAAAAATGTCTCGACAGTTAAAAAAATAATAAAAATAAATAAATACCATCAAATATGTATATTATGTATGGAAAATATTTGTGACGATTTTACGACGATTTGGAAATATTAATTGACGATTTTGACGATTTTCTTCTCGAAATTTGACGTTTTGGCGACCAAATCATCTGGCAACTATGATTGGATGTGCAATGCCCGCAATATTTGGTACTTCCAAGTCCTAAATATTTATATTCATATAAATATACTCACATAAAATTCGATCACTTTAGCAGTTATAGTATCCCAGATATATATTTTTTAATTTTATTTAACAATATTCAATAACCTAGCCTATAGGCCATAAGCGGTTACAAACTTCTACTTAACAATGATTCTTTCAAGACATAATTATATAATTATATACAAAAATAATAAACTATATAAAATAACTATAGGATAATTACACTGCATTGTACTGCATTGATCATAAATAAATTCCTACATTCCTATATGAATTTTAGTGTTTAATTTATTTGAGATTTTTTTAAAATTTTTCCATAATAATGTCAAAGTTGTCCGTGCAAAATTTTACTATAGCTGTTATAATTTTACAGATTTAAAAATATTATATATATCAACGTTTCCCAAATGGGGGTCCGCGGACCCCTAGTGGTCCGTAGTAAAATCCTAGGGGGTCCGCGAAGACGAACGAAAAAAACATGAATAAACAATATTCTTTTATATGTATGTACAAATATCTCCAATTTTTGTGCAATAATCCCAAATTTTTTGGTGACTTTTTGAATTTTATTTTTTCGGTTGTTTATCAGGAAGAAGCTAGGCCCTACAAATTTATTGTATAACTTTTATGAAGTAAAGTATTGCGTGTTTTGTAATTTTTATTTCCTGTATATGTACTGAAATAATGGTTTTTATTTCAGACAAATAATACTCTGCCTTACAATTAAATTAGGGATACTGGTATTCCGGAGTATGAAGTTCAATTCAAAGACAAGCTTATTACAGATTTAAGTTTATCAAATTGTAAGCAAAAGTGTTCTTGTTTGAAAGGACTAAAATTATATATTTTCAAAACAGAGGTGACTCTTTATGTATCTCTTTATAAATCCGACGTGATACACAGATTTTAACTTGATTTTGTCGACCAATAGATATTATTAAATTAACATCAGAAAATCCATAGCGTTTCGCGTAAATATGTAGCCAAAAACCATGAAGTAAAATAATTCGTTGGTATTTTAAAATTCAAATTTAAGTTCCAAATTCACAGTACTTTAACAAAGAGTTCAAATCATATATTATGCGGATAACGCATTCCGCAACAACATAGAAGAAGTCCAACTTTCTTATATTATTTTCCCGAAAACTTAGCTCACTTACTCAGTTCACCCTTTGCAATCGCAACAAATTTTTGAAACGTGACTCCTTAAGCACATGTGACAATATTTGATAAAGAAACCTTTTCGCTACCTTGAAGAAAAATGAATATGAAAGATCTCACGATCATAAAATTAAACATCATGTTAACATATCA